CACTAGAAAGATCATATAAACATTTTACAAAATAAGGAATAAGATCCAATGAATAGATACAATCAGTAGCAATAATAAAATCATATAGATGTCGATCACTCAAATTTCATAGTAAAAAATTTACCCTCCTGATCTGCGTGACAAATCGTGTGACTGATAGGTACGTGCAAAATCATGTGCATTGGTACGTGCCCGTAGACCGTCCGTACTGGGGAAGATATACGTATTAGTCACATGACGTTAATTATATTTCTACAGGGCCAACAAAATTTATTACAGGGGCGGGAGTCAGACATTGGCAAAATTTCTAAGTGTACGACTTTAAGGTCTTCCACTCCGCTTCCCTCCGCTCCAGCCCAACTACAGTATAATCTGTACAATTCTGACAGTTAATTATAGTTCAAACAGTTTTAACAGTTAACTAAAGTTTGAACAGTTAACTGCAATCCATATCGATATCGATATAGTTTAAATACATAGATTGAACAGTTGATCTACAACATACATAAGCTTACGGATTGCCGATCAGAGGATCACATCACTAGTTATTGCCATTCCTATTAAGTTGCGTCTCATCTCTACTGGATTATATATACTGAATAAAAACAATATCATAGCTTTGCATCAAATCCTGATCATGTCTTCTTCATCAGAGGAATTCAACTTCGAATCTGGAAATGTAAAATTATCTTTAGTACAATATCGAAATACGTTTAATCATGGCACCATAGTATGGGATTCTTCTGTGGTAACCGCTTATTATGTGCAAAGCCTCTTCAATTCATACAATCCATCTGAAAAAAATTTGACATGCATAGAACTAGGTAGCGGTTGTGGCCTATTAGGTTTAGTAATGTGCTCTTTAGGATTTGAAACAACTTTAACTGATCTAGCTGCCGTCGTGGATGATGTATTAAAAGAAAATGTACGACGTAATTTATTTATTCTCAATAATCAACTTCAAAATAATGAAAATTTTCAACATAAAGCTTACGTTAAAGTATTAGATTGGACAACACAACTTTCTTCTGATTTTACTCCCCCATATGATTATATTATTGCTACTGATTGTATCTATTCATTGGATCTTATTCCTTATTTTGTAAAATGTTTATATGATCTTTCTAGTG